TAGGACTGTGAACAATTCTGAAGTGACTCTAAGCTTATTTACATACATACATGTAAGAAGAAGTTATACCCATTGAATATATGTATTAACGGCGTGTCAATTRTCGTTTCTTTTGGTTTCGGCTTGTTTTTTTCCCCCCATTCCGATGATTGTTGACTTGTTTGCATGCCAAACTCAAAAATCCATGTCTTATCGACAGTTACTTGTATAATGGTCTCCATGAATGCGGGATCGTAATGCGCACATTCAAACATGACCTTTTTGAAAATAAAATCAGCTTTAGCGGGACGGGTCGATCAAGAACGCGTTTCATACCCAAAATAATCATCAAAATCATTTGAACGGACTTCCGAGAGATGTCGAGCTCCTTGCCATCTTTCTAGCATTTGCTTGACGGTTTACAAGCATCATATCCTTCACTTTGTTTTAATATTTTCAACAGTTGAAAAAGTCGAAGGTTGCCCAGAACTAGGCATGTCTTCAACGATCTCTCGACCATCTTTGAAGGCTCTGTACCACTTGTAGGATTGTGTTTTTAATAAAACTGAATCACCGTATGCCTTTTCCAACATTCGCAATGATTCTGCACACGAAATTTGGTTTGAAATACAAAATTTGAGACAAATCCTTGGTTCGATATTTTTATCCACTGTAAATATCGATTTTTGAAATATCATATACCCACGGAATTTAATCACAATTTCCGTGTTTTTTTTTTTTTTGCCACAATGTATACTTTCTGTGCTCTATGTAGTTTATGTTGTATATACGGAACGGATGCACGAGCGCAGCTAAAAAAAAAAATGGTTCATCTAAAACGCTCAAGCATGATGATTTAGTATCTTGCTCAGTTTTTTGTAACTGGTTTTTTCGATGTGTAGTTTTTAATGAGGGAATACTCTTATCGAAGTTGATATTTTTAACAGATGTAGCTTGAAAGTCGGCATGCCTTAACCTGGAGAAAGAACGTGGATTATTTAAGGTTCGGAAGGGTTGAAATCAAGTTAAGAGGAATTTTATTGTAGCACTTTGCTCCTTCCGCCGAGCTATAGGAGACAATATACTGGACTTATACGCTGTTTGGTTTGCCGTTTCATAATGAAAAGACTAGCTCTGAGACAACAAGTTTAATTCCAACAAAACGGCGTGGCATGTAGTCAATAAAACAATAAATTTTTTGAAGGAGGGAGCGTATTATCTCGCGTTGTGAGCCTCTGTAATGGCCTCCACGATCGTGCCATGTATCCACTGGACTATTTTTTGTGGGATCATATGAACTCGCTTGACTACGCAGCTAAGCCCGAGACAATTGACACATTGGAAAAGAATACGACATTAATTGTTGCAAAAAAAAAAGCAAAATTGAGAATTGTCTAAAAAACACCCTTTACTTAAAATAATTGCCATAATTGTCGGATGTTTAGTATTTATGAATAATTATGTTATATGGTTGGTGGTTATTACTTCATTGAAAAATATATTTATAGTAGTTGGTAAGCCACTTGTCATTTCTTTAAAACTTAGTAMAAATAGGTAAAAWATATAKATTTTATAATTTCKATTTAAAYTATAAAGATTTGTTACAGTTTTTTCTGTTAAGAATGAATACAGAAGACAGACGCAATAGTCACTTACAATGAAATGACCGAATCAGCCTATCATACATATATCACTAGATTCTGCAATGGGTGCTCTCGTGCCCTTATGCAATTCGGTATAGGATTTTTGCAATCTGCAATCTTGCAAGCGCAACAGAATCCCCCTAATATTTTATTAGACTATGAAAATATTCCATAATAATTATCCAAAGACTGGGAACGATCGACCAATGCACACTGAATATTATGGATCTATAGTTTGCATTCAAAGAGTTCTAGCCCWATTGTTATATACGTTCTAATCCTAATTTTTTTTTGTCATTGTAGTTTTTATGGCTATACGAGTATATATAAAGATGCAATAATTTTATTTAACCAGTAAAAACAAAATTCAAATAAAATCGATAAGTGCGGTGACTTCCCCCAATTGTTTATTTCATTATTTTTATACGCGAAGACTTTAATTAAAATTCACTTCAAGCGCTTGGCGAGATATTAGAAATTCAATAAATGAAGAACAACTCAACTCCATGTAAACCACCATTGGGGAAATTTTTTTAGACAAATTATAATATAGGTATACTGAATATATTTGAATGATATATTTTTGAATAATTATTATATTTTTTGCGCGTTAAGTATAATTCTTAATTTAAATTTTATTCAAGAGTTAACCATTTCTAGGTTCCCTACTTTTTAAAAGAACAAACAAAAAAACTTAAATTTAATGAAKAATGTTTATTATCATTAGAATGAACTATCTTTGGTATTACATTTTTTAAAGATTGTCTCTTTCAAATGTTGTCCGCCGCTACGTCTCAGAGGATCCATCCTTTGAGTCTAATTTTCGATGATTCGTTGGGGCATTTCGACTCGTAACCGGTAAATAACACGCATGATGTTTTGCTCCAAGGCCTGAATCGAAGCGGGATTGACCGCATACACTTTAGAATTTACATATCCCCACAGAAAGGAAGTCTAACGGTGTGATATTCCACGATCTTGGGGCCGATCGCTTCAAAACGTGAAATTATCTGCTCATCGAAGTGTTCTCTCAATAAATCCATTGATTGTTGTGTTGTGTGGGAAATAGTGCCGTTTTGTTGAAACCAAATGTCGCCCAGATCACGAGCTTCAATTTTATGCATCAAATAGTCGGTTATCATGCCGCCATTGACTGTTACGCTCTCATCGCTCTCATCGCCATCATTTTTGAAGAATTTTGCGACAATTTCGCTTCTTTACATACCCATTGGCAAATAGGCCTCATCGCTGAACAAAATTTTGGTCAAAAASGCCGAATCTTCATGGAAGCTATCTCGTTWAAGATCTCGACGCAAGCTRCGCAATGTCAGCMCGAGTKTGCGGCGCCGAATCGMCTCCCCACGGTCTTCRTGTTCACTCTCAGCTAAGATCGAATATTTGCTAATAATAAGATTCGTCTTACGACTTATGGAATCCATGTCTTGAGAGCAACAAACATATGGTATGTAGTTGCACTTATTTTACCTTTGAATGGCCTAGGCAAGTAAATTTGAAATTTTGTATCCTTTTTACTGCCATATTTCATTTCCTTAATTTGCTTCGCCTTCACCTTCAAATGTTGCACKCTCAACYTCCACAACATATTCCATCTTAACCGCAGCGCTGTTACTTATAGACTTGCAGTGAGTCGAGTGAGAGGAAAAGGTTTTGCGTATGTTGCAATRTGAGTTTGGGGGCCAACAGCAATTTAATGCCTGGCAATCGTAAAAACGGCAAAATTATGACCGAAATGAGAATTTAATCGAGGAACGTGAGCAGAAAAATGAGGAAAACTGCAAATTGAACGCACTCACCTCGGCAAAAGGAAACATACTTGTAGCATGCGCATAAATACCCACATACACAACCATATATACCACCCTCCATTGCAATGCAACTTGCGGCAGTCTTGCGTGCAACAACACATCATCGTCGCTTTGTGGCGTTCGAATCTTTCATTTTGTTTTGGAAAATTTTTGCGGCCAACTGTGGCATCCAACGGCGGCAATACTCAAAAAGTGCACTCATGCATTTTTTATCATCACGTTCCTGGCCCGTGTTCTTGTTTTGTGGCAGCGCAGAACATTTCAATCGCTTCATGGTCGCATCATGTGTCCACATACAACRCAACACTGTGTGTTGTTGGATCGCCGAAGATGAGCGCATCCTTTTTCTTGCTCTTTATGGAGCTACACTTTTTGTAGTTGGCTTTTATTTTGCTCTCACACACCTCCTGGGAACCGGTAAGGTGCGAAATGTGCCTGCCGCCTTCACCGC